GGCCGGGCGTGGTGGCTCACACCTGTAATCCCAGCACTTTGGGAGGCCGAGGTGGGTGGATTACTTGAGGTCAGGTGTTCGAGACCAGCCCGGCCAACATGGTGAAACTTCATCTCTACTAAAATTAGCCAGGTGTGGTGATGCATGCTTGTAATCCCAGCTACTTGGGAGGCTGAGGTGAGAGGATTGCTTGAACCCATGAGGCAGAGGTTGCAGTGAGCCTACTGCACTCCAGCCTGGGCAAAAGAGTGAGACTCCACTCAAAATTAAAAAACAAAAACAAAAACAAAAAAACCCCACACATTTACAAAAACGGGTGGGCAGCTCTATTCTTAGTTTGTCAACACCTACCCTAAGGCATTAATGTCATGAGTTAATTTCTCTCCTGTGCAATTACAATAGTACTAGTTATGCACAACCCTTGGGAAAATAGAAAAAATAGTCACTCAAATAATTTTCTGCATGGCTAATTCTCTTGTAAACTTGTTGAGAAAGGCTGTGGGATCTAGAAAACCATCTTGCAGTTGATGTCAACTAGGCCCTTTGGAGCCTGAGAGCTGTGTCTCTGGAAATGGTGGGCTGTGATACATGTGGGGACCAGCCCCTGTCATTCCTATTTAGTATCTTCAGTTTGTGATCTCTGTAATTTCACCTTGTCCCAGCCCCTGAAGTTGGGTTGGAAGCACACACTGTTGCCTTCTCTGTTCTCCTTCTAATTCCCTAATGTACCCTACTTAATTGATGTAAACTGTATTTTTAAACAAACCTAACCTCATGAATAGTTGTTGTAACCTTTATTCAGTGGATGGGAAATTAATGGATAGAGCACTAGATATTTATTGATGGGGGAAGCTCATGTAATTTTTGAGAGAAAAATCGGTGGCCAGAAGATTAATGACTCAAGCCCAGTAGCAGAGCATGTGAGGTCCAGGCTAGACACAGGTTGCGCCCTCTGAGTCACTTCTGGGTTATACAGAGCGGGATAAATTCTGAGACTGGGGAAAAACACAGTTTACTTGTCTCTCCACATTTTTCTCTTCATGTTTTTACTTCCTGCAAGACTTAGGGTCTTTTCCTTATACTTTAATATCTTTTTCCACAAGGACTTAGAGCTGAAAGAAGAAGAAGTTAAAACTTAAGCTGATTGGTTTAGTTTCTGGTTAACTCTTCAAATAATAGATTAAGCTTGAGAGAAGCTTGAAACCACTGAATGAAGTCAGCTCTTGTATTATTTGTGAACCTTAGTTATTCTTTCTCTATTATTTCCAGGTAGCACAAATAACGGATTGTTGGTTTTACTTTTAGAAAAATTGACATCTATTTTCCAGTCATTAGATAATAATCATTTCATTTGGATTGATAAATATAGAGGTAACATTTTGAACCCATCTATATATTTCATTACTGTTATGAGTGCTTGAAATACAAAGGTTTTCTTAAGAATAAGTGCTTCTGAAGTCCCATTCTTTCTTCCCAAATCAGAACAAAGAGAAATGAAGTACTTCAGTCTTTTATCAGTTAAAATACTAACAGATGGAAAATAACAAAGAATAGACTGTTTTCCTGCCTATTGTAAGGCAAAATAAAATGTTTACTTGTTGGAAACACTATACCTTTCTTTCAGTCTCTCTCCCCTGTCTTCTTATTTTCCTTGATGGACTCTTTCTCTTATCTGAGCAAACTTTCTGTTTGTTTGTTTGACTCTTAGTCTCTCAGTGAACAGCATAGCGACCCATTAGCTCCAGTGCTGGACTCCGACTGTGTCAAGTGTAGAAGTTTGAAATGCAATTCTAATCCATCATATTTCTCCAATTATTAACTCTCCTTTGCTGCCTTTTAAATACTTCACAAAATGGAAACCCCTTTTGAATAAGAACAGCTGATTTTCTGGGAGATGGAAGGACAAGTTATGGCGAGATGCTAGGTTTCTTTATTTAGTATGTGGCTGCTTGAAAGTTGCTATTAGATCTAGAGAACTGTTTTGTTAGGTGTGATTAGAGTTTAAAGACAATGTTTATTTCTTAGATCCTTCTATTGAAAGAAACATAAGGTGTCTGTATCTCTATATCTATAATAAAATTCAGAAGGCAAGTATATATTTAAATCTATGTTAACTGCACACATAAAAACAGAAGGTATTTGTGATGGGTAAATTTCAAAAGGTCTGAGAGTTGTAATAAACACTCCAAACTTCATATACTTATCCAAACTGCTTCATCAAGAAACCGGGATGGGTTGCTATGAGAACAAGATTTCTTAAGAAAATTCCTACACCTTCCAGTTTCTGAAAAACTCAGAACTTTCTCACTCAATTTACTATTACTCTGAATGCAAATAAAAAATGATAGAACACTTAAAGTAAAAGATGGTAAGTTTGTTACTACATTGAAAAAAATATTTTATGCTCGATGAGAATATCGTTGAAGAAATATCTCAGCTTTTATCTGAGATAGTTTGTCTATTCTTATAGGCAGACATGAATGGCAGAAATCTTATGTTCAGTATGTCTCTGTTATACATAATTACGAGCAGTACAGTTGCTTTTGAAGCACTTTTTTTTTTTTTTTTTTTTTTTTCAGCCCAGGCTGGAGTATAATGGCACAATCTCTGCTCACTGCAACCTCTGCCTCCTGGATTCAAGCAATTCTTGTGCCTCAGTCTCCTGAGTAGCTGGGACTACAGACACGGGCTACTACGCCCAGCTAATTTTTGTATTTTTAGAGACAGAGTTTCACCATGTTGACCAGGCTAGTCTTGAACTCCTGGCCTCAAGTGATCCACCTGACTCGGCCTCCCAAAGTGCTGGGATTATAGGTGTGAGCCACCGTGCCCGGCCTTCTGAAGCATTTTGGATTGCTTTGGTAGATTGGTTATGCTTTGGGTAACAACATGATAGCCTGGGCTTTTGGCAGTTATTTCTTTTCTTTTGTTTTTTTTTGAGATGGAGTTTTGCTTTTGCTGCCCAGGCTGGAGGGCAATGACGCAGTCTTGGCTCACTGCAACTTCCACTTCCCAAGTTCGAGCGATTCTCCTGCCTCAGCCTCCTGAGTAGCTAGGATTACAGGCATGGATCACCATGCCCGGCTAATTTTTGTATTTTTAGTGGAGACAAGGTTTCACCATGTTGGCCAGGCTCTGTAATTCTTGACCTCAGGTGATCCACCTGCCTCGGCTTCCCAAAGTGCTGGGATTTCAGATGTGAGCCACTGTGCTCAGCCTTTCGCAGCTATTTCATAAACATGTTAGGGAGATTTTGTTTTACATGCACTCTTTAACATCTAATTTGACAGGTTTTAAAAATTTTTTGTTTTTTGAGATAGGGTCTTCTCTGTCATCCAGGCTGTAGCTCCCTGCAGCCTCAAACTTCCAGGCTCAAGCGATCCTCCTGCCTCAGCCTTGTGAGTAGCTTGGACTATAAGCATGCCCATGGTGCCTGGCTGACCTGACAAGATTCCTAACTGAGAAGTGCTTCCCATTTCCAGTCAATGCAGGAATATATGTAAGATGGGCTAAGGGAGTGAATGGAACCTCATCCAAGTATTTGAAACCATGTTGTAGATTTTTCTGCTTTTCTGAAAAACCCTATCAGTAAACTTAAAAGTCTAAGTGTCCCAAAATGCTTTCCAATAATAATAGATAGCCTTATTCAGCAATGATCCTAGGCACTGAGTTACACATTTTACTTATACTATCTCTCATCCATTCGTCAACCCAGCAAAGATTTTTTTAAATGTTCATTTTTTCAGAGAACACCAGGGCTCAGAGAAAGTAAGTAATGTGCCCAAGGTCATATAATAAGGAAAGGTTGGAGCAGACTCAAACCCAGATCTGCTAATCTTTGAAGTCCATTCTCTGTCCTCTCTCACTTAGTGAGCGCTTTTAAACTTTACTACTCTGACCTGGGCGACTACTTGGTTAACTCTGTAAACATTCTGTTTACACTAGTATGCCTATCTCTGTGTGGCAGAAAGTCATCTTTATTGAATCTTTCTTGAAAGTGAGCAGTATAGGGCAGGGGTAAGTACAGATAAAGCGAGTCTCTCACATGACTGAAACTCTGGCAGTGGAGACCTGAGCTATGATTCTTACGAGATGCAGTTAGGTATCTTTGGTTGTATCGTGGATTCCTTCCTGCCACTATAATGCTGCCAGCATTGATTGTGATGGTTTAATGTCTGTAAGATTTATAAATGACAGGCCAGGCGTGGTGGCTCATGTGTATAATCCCAGTGCTTTGGGAGGCTGAGGCAGAGGATCGCTTGAGTCCAGGATTTGGAGACCAGCCTAGGCAACATAGAGAGGCCTTTGTTCTACAAAAAATCACAAAAATTAGCTGGGTGTGATGACACATGCTTGTGTCACAGGTACTTGGGTGACTGAAGCAAGAGGATCACCTGAGCCCAGGAGCTCAAGGTTGCAGTGAGCTATGATTACACCACTGCACTCCAGCCTCGGTGACAAAACGAGGCCCTCTCTCTCTCTCAAATTAAAAAAAAAAAAATTATAAATAACAGAAAACTTTCAGCTTTTAGAATGAATAAAGGACACAGAATGACAATTTTTCCTGGATGCATACACATTAAGGATTTACATAGTATTGGGACCAGAGATTTACAAAAACTCATGTCTTTGTAAACCATATTGCTTCAGAAAACGTAGACATTTGTGTTTTAAAGCCTACTGAGGCAATGCTAATGTTTAAATTGAATGTAAATCTTTCAAAATTTCTGCTGTAAAGCTGTAAAAATATATAGTGTTTTTTCCCCCTCTTTCACTTATTTCAGATACAGAAGCAATAGCACAGTTACTTATAGCTTTTTATTATCATTTGTTAGGAGAATGAAGACATAAATTATCATGTGTGTCGCAGGACGAAAATAAAGTGATTAAAATTTATTTTTTGTTGTTGTACCTTACCAAATTGTAACACATGTAGTTTTCTTCTTTCTCTGTGTTCTATTTTATTATTGTAACCACTTTGGCCTTTTTTTTTTTTTTTGGTACAATCCATTGCAGCTAGAATGGTTTATAGCTCTGAATAGATATTTTGGATAATGCTGAGTGCCAGAAATGTTGTGAAGTACCTTTCCCAAGTATTGCGTTCATTACTGGTTATTATCATCGTGTTGAATCAGTAAGTGATTTTAACTTTCGTCATTATCCCCGCTTCTTGTTTACTGTGGATAAGTAACTCCCATGGATTGCTTTTTCTGTCTTAGCGAGAAATATTGGTGGCTATGAGATCATAGCTCAACAGCTTCAATTCTATGCTCTTCCTCCGAGCAATTTTTCTTCTCTTCAGATTTTTTCCTTTTCTTCTCCCTTCCCTTTATTTCATGTTCTTCCTCTACAATAAAAAAGAATTCAGAAAAAAGAATGTAAATTCGCCATTTGGAAAAAGTAGAAATTAACTTCGGTTATAAGAAGACTTGGGTGCTCACTAACGTAACTTTTCCTGCTGGCTAGGAAGGGGATTACACCTAGTGAAAGGAGACAGAGCAAGGATGAGAGGACGTTTGTCCACTGGGAGGAGACTAGTGAGCACTCGTTTCTTCCTAGGTAATGTTTTGGTCCAATATCGCAAAGGCTAATGACATCTTTTATAAGGTGTGAACTGCCTCTGAACTAGGACACACTAAGATAATGAGCAGAAAGAGCACCAAGATTGATGTTAAACTTCATGGCATGTGAGAAATATGTCACATATAAAGACAGAGAAAGCTGTAGAGGGCTGGGTGCTCAAGACAACTGGTGATAGATTTTGGGAGCCCACTGTCCACAGACTGGGATCCATAAGCCTGAGGGGCATTGTCACTTTGTCTGGTAACCCATCTCAGTCTGTTCTGGGGTCCCTGGGCCTAGTGTGTGAGCTATCAAGATACCATTTCTTAGGCACTAGTTAATATTTCCTGAAATAAGTAAATTAAACAGGCCAGGTGTGATGACTCGTGCCTGTAATTCCAGCATTTTGGGAGGCCGAGGCAGGCGGATCACTTGAGCCCAGGAGTTCAAAACAAGCCTGGCCAACATGGCAAAATCCCGTCTCTACTAAAAATTTAAAAATTAGCCAGGCATGGTGGCGTGTCTGTAATCCCAGCTACTCAGGGGGCTGAGGCAGGATAATTGCTTGAAACTGGGAGGTGGAGATTGCAGAGAGCTGAGATAGCACCACTGTACTCCAGCCTCGACGGAGAGAGACTTTGTCAAAAAAAAAGAAAAAGAAAAAAATAAGTTAAACACCCTTTAAATGTAATTATGACTGTCCTCTCAAGAAATCTAGGTTAAAGCATTCCCTAGGCAAGAGAACTAGTGAAGAGCTGAGAAAAACTAAACTAAAAGCCTCAGATTCTCTTTACTCTTTGCCACTAGTTTGCAGAATTATCTCTCATAAATCATTTTATTTCTCTGGTTCTGTTTTCTAAATGTTTTAAACGGGTTGTGTTGGGTGAGCCTTAAAGCACCTTATGGCTTTGAAATTTTACTTCTATCTACTTTGATTGCACATACTGTCCATTTATATTATTAGTCCTGATGTCAATTAGCACCACTTATCTTCAATCATTCGTTCGCTCATTCATTCAGCAATTCTTACTGAGCACACACCATGCTTCAGACTGTTTTAGATGCTTGGGATACATCAGTGAATAAAACTGACAAAGATCACTGCCTCTTGTGATGGTTCATTTTTTGTGTCAACTTGAGTGGGCCATGGGGCCCAGATGAAACATTGTTTCTGGGTGTATCTGTCAGGGTGTTTCTGGGTGAGATCAGCATTTGAACTGGACTCAGTTAAGCAGGTGGCCTTCCCCATGTGAGTGGGTATCATTCAACCTGCTGAGGGGGTGACTAGAACAAAAGGCTAAGGAAGGAGGAATTCCTCCCATTTTTCCTGCCTCACTACTTGAGCTGGGGATCTTCTCAGATATTCTTCTGCCCTATATTACACTGTTCTTTCCATTGCTATTAAAAAAATCCCTGAGACTGGCTAATTTATGTTTATTTTATTTAATGTATTTATTTTTTATTTTTTTGAGACAGGGGCTTGTTCTGTTGCCCAGGCAACGCGATCTCGGCTCACTGCAGTCTTGAACTCCTGGACTCAAGCGATCCTCCCACCCCAGCCTCTTGAGTAGCTGGGATTACAGGCATGTATCATCATACCCAGCTAATTTTTGTAGGGATGGGGTTTTGTTATGTTGCCTAGGCTGGTCTTGAACTCCCGAGCTCAAGAGATCCACCTTCCTTGGCCTCCTAAAGTGCTGGGATTATAGACATGAGCCGGTAATTTATAAAGACAAGAGGTTTAAGTAGCTCATGCTTCTGCAGGCTGCCCAAGCATGGCACCAGCATCTGTTCAGCTTCCAGGGAGGCCTCAGGGAGCTTTGACTCATGGCAGAAGGTGAAATGGAAACAGACACTTCACACGGTGAAAGCAGGAACAAGAGAGTGACGGGGAAGATGCCACACACTTTTAAACAGTCAGACTTCATGAGAACCTACTCACTATCATGAAGACAGCACCAAGGGGATGGTGCTAAACCATTCACAAGAAATTCACCCCATGATCCAATCACCCCCCAACCAGGCCCCACCTCCAACATTGGGGATTATAATTCAATATGGGATTTAGAGGGGACAACATCCAAACAATATCATGCCCTCAGACTGCAGTTTACATCACTGACTCTCCTAGTTCTCAGGTCTTCGGACTTGAATGGAATTATGCCATCAGCTTTCCTGGATCTCCAGCTCGCAGACAGTAGATCATGGAATTTCTCCGTCTCCACAATCCCCTAAGTCAATTTCTTATAGTAAATCTCCTTTAAAAATCATTATATCAAAAAGATACCTATACTCATATGTTTATTGCAGCAATGATCACAATACCAAAGATAAGGAATTTAACCTAAGTGTCCATCAATGGATAATTGGATTTAAAAATGTGGTATGTGTATGTCATGGACTACTTAGCCCATAAAAAAGAATGAAATCATGTCTTTTGCAGCAACATGGATGGAACTGGAGGCCACTATCCCAAGTGAACTAACTGACAAACAGAAAGACAAATACTGTGTGTTCTCACTTATAGGTGAGAGAGAAGCAATAGTCACAAGTGAACATTCAGAGTGGAGTAATAGACATCAGGGACAACAAAAGGTGGGAGGATGGGAGAGTAGTGAGGGTTGAAAAATTACCTATTGGGTATAATGTTGACTATTTGGGTAATGGGTACATTAGAAGCCCAGATTTCACAACCATGCAATATACGCATGTAAGAAATTTGCACTTTAGGCCAGGCGCGGTGGCTCACACCTGTAATGCCAGCACTATGGGGTCCAAGGCGGGTGGATCACCTGAGGTCAGGAGTTCAAGACTAGCCTGGCCAAACTGGTGAAACCCCATCTCTACTAAAAATACAAAAATTAGCCGGGCATGGTGGCGTGCACCTGTAGTTCCAGTTACTCCAGAGGCTGAGGCAGGAGAATTGCTTGAACCTGGGAGACGGATGTTTCAGTGAGCCAAGATCACACCACTGCACTCTAGCCTGGGTGACAGAGTAAGACTCTGTCTCAAAAAAAAAGAAAGAAAAGAAAGAAAATCTACACTTTACTCTCTAAATATATATATAGAGGAATATATCTAAATGTATCTAAACATATATATAAGGAATGTGATCAAATTCTGGGTGCATATATATATAAATGTCCTTTTGTATCCGTGTTTATATCTATATTCTATTGGTCTGTGTTTCTGTAAACCTTGACTAATATACTCTTTCTTCCCATATCCCCAAGTTTACCTTCTTGCAGACAGAGACAGATAATAAATAACAAAATATAATAAGTAAGAAAATTTACGGCGTGCTAGCATGCACTATATGAGAAAAGTAAAACTTGGCAAGGAGGATCAGGAATACTGAGGTAAAGAGGAGATTGAAATTTAAATGATGTGGTGAGCATAAAGCTTATTAAGAAGGCGACGTTGAGTAAGTACTTGAGGGAGATGAGGAGTGATGTGAATATTATTAATTAGAAGAGTCATCCAAGCAATGAGAGCAGCCAGCAGAACAACCTAAAGCAGGAACCCCTCTGTGTATTTCAGAAATAGCTGGAAGAACAGCGTAGTCAGAGGTCTTAGAGACAGATACAGAAAACAAGATCAGGAGGCTGGGGGAAAGACATTTGGCTGTTAGTCATTGTAGGAATTTTGGCTGCTGGTCAAAATGAAATAGAAAGTCATTACAAGATTTTGAACCAATGAATGATATGATCAATTATTGCCGTACTCTGGGTGAGAGATGATGGTGGCTTGGATCAGGGTGGTGGCAGTGGAAGTTTAAGGAATGTTATCAAATTCTGGGTACATTTTGAAGCTATAGCCAACAAGATTTGCTGACAGTCTGGATATAGTTATGAGAGAAAGAGGTTTGTCTTGAGCCACTGGAAAGATGGAGTCACCAACAACTTTGAAGGGAAGGCAGTGGGTGGATGAGGTTTTGGAAGCAAGATCAGGAATTAAGTTTGGATTTTGACTTTGAAGTAGGCAAGCTGAGCAGAAAAGAGGTCTAGGCTGGCGATATAAATTTGTGACTCATCAGCTTACAGATGTTGTTTAAAGCCAAAGCAACAAGGTAAAAGCGATCACGAAGGGAATGTGTGCAGATAGAGAGGAGGTGGAAGGACTGAGTCCCAGGCCCTCCAGCATTAGGGGGAATCTACAGAGGAGGCACACGATGACTGACAGGGAAGGCAGAGGGGGAACCAAGAGATGTATATCTGCGCATTTCTCATTATTGAAGGAATTCAGATTTAAAATAATCACTGCAGTAACACTTTCAGCAGTTGTGAATAAATTAAGTTTGCAAACTGAAGAAAAAGAACAGAATGAGAAGTGATGCTGCAGATTTTATTTTACACATGGTGGCTTGAACACAACCCAACCAATAGAAATTGCGCATCTACTGATGAGCTAGTTGAGGATTTTTCAGAGGAAATGATTCAAGTTTGCTTATATTTTGGGTAAGCAAATTCAGGCATTAAAGTAGTTCTAAGCCCATTGAGAATTAGCCCATAAGCTGGATACTTCTATAAATTTATAATAACATTGCCACCTTCTCAGAGTCTTTTGAGGATATCAGCAAGGAGTGAAGGTGGGGGTATCTCTGCCGTGTCTGGCGACCTGTGATGAGGGAACTGAGATGTTGCACCTCACTAGACTGTGCTTTCTTGGACGGCAGAGGCTGTGCTTCAGTCACCTGTATACTATGCAGCCCTAGCATATTATAAGCAATTAGTAAACAGTGATTGAATGCATTATTAACTGATTATAATTAATACTTGATTGCTT